TGGCGAGATCTACAATCAGCAAAATTTGAAACTTTTCAATCAACTTACTCGACGGTGAGTTGCCTTTTTGTTTTAAAATACTGTTGGGCGTGTTAATAGCTGTTTTAACGCTGCAGCAAAAATCACAGCACTTACAATGCAAGACTCCATAGAGCTAACGGCTGATTTGGCTAGCGTTTTACCCTCAATATAATCTTCCGAACCATGTATTTATTTAATACTAGAGATGCACCGATCCGATACCAATATTGGTATCGGCCCAGATATAAAAAAAACCTTCTGGATCAGGTATCGTGACAATGTGACTGATCCATGACTGGGCAGATCTATTCACTCTAATTCTATGCTTTGTGCTCTGAGTGACATCATGCACTAGCGAACTCACCACACAGATTGTTGTCAAAATGGAGCGAGCGAAAGGATCAGCCATCTGGAACTATTTCACACTACTTCAGCCAACACATTTGAAAGCTACGTGTAATATGTGCACAGCGACAGTTCCAGGGGGTGTCACTAAAACTTCCAGTTACAACACTACCAACTTAATCAAGCATCTCCAGAGATTTCACCCTAAAGAGCATGCTGAGTTTGTTGAATGGAATTCAGCACTGTTTTTCTGTATCAGATCGGTATCGTCTGATACTAAAGGCTCCAGTATACTCACGCGTCCTGTCAGCCGTGCAAAAACTGTGCGCTCTGTCCAAAGAGGGTTGAGACTTCATGCTTGAGCATCCACCCTGAGCGGCTGCAGAGCAGCTCTGCAGACAAGGGGCGTTTACCTTCGGGACAAAATTAGGTAGCCGACTGGTCATTTGCTAACATGCCTACTGGATTTGAGTGACAGGTGGAGGGAAATAAAGAGAGCTGGCAGCTCCAGCCGCAGCGGTGTTCTGTGTTTATATGTTGTTAATAAAACGTTCTAAAAAAAAAAAAAAAAAACAGGGAGCGCTGGCCCTGCAGCCCACACATCAGACCAGCCCACCAGGAAATCTCCAGACCCTCCTGCAGCCACGCCAGACCTGATTTTAATTCGCTCGTGACAAATTCCTTCATTTCTCACCATTTCAGTCATAGCATCAATGGAGGAGGAAGAGATCACTTGTCTTTTGGCAAAAAAAAAAGACAAAAAAGAAAAAGAAAAGGCCAGATCAAGGATGAAGAAGGTGAATTTAATACCTAGGTGTCGCATACAAAATAGTCCGTCGCTGGGCAGTTTATTGTGCGAGTATGCATAAGTGGTCGTAAAAATTGAGCTTTGCGCGGACATGCCCTGCGGGTGTCCACTTCAGTTCAAATCCTGTAGGCATTGACCTCCGCAGACTGACGGGGGCTTGAACCTCAGATATCGGTATTGGTATCGGAAGTGCAAAAAGTGGATCGATGCATCCCTATTTATTACGCTAATAATGTTACTCAATAAGTAAGCTGAATAAAAGGCCATACCTTTAGTAATTAAAGGACATCTTTGGTTGAATTTATTTTAACTATTTTAAGGTATTTTTGTTACTTTTTGACAAACCGCTCCAGCGGCGGTGGTGGTTTTACTGTTTAGTACTGACTCGGTTTGAATTAAATTATACCGGTAGTTACATATTTTTTGAACCTGTTGTACAACTGTTATTTCGAATTAATGTTTGATTCCTTTGTTAGCCTTAAAGCTAACTGGTTTTGAGTAAATATTTTTAAAATGTGCCTTAATTGAATTATGAAGTCAAATGTTTATGAAAAATAGCATTTATTGAACATGTTTGTTTTTAATAATGGTTACAAAGCATTTAAGGTAAAGCTAATTTAATTTGTTTGACTATGTACTTAATTTATGTTTTTGACCTTTTGGGTCAGGTCTAATTGTCACCTCCATTAACAACGTTCTACAATTGGTGGCGAGCTACCACGTGACCACATTATTGTAGGAAATCGACCTCTTTGTTGACCACTTTTAGCCTTAATGTGTGTGAATATGTGTGTGTATATGTGTGTGTATATCAGAGTCAGAGAGTCAGAGTTTCTTTATTTGTCATACACACCACACGTGGTACATGTGGTGGAATGAAATTATGTACACAGGGTCCCAGTTACAGCCAACAAAAGTATAAAATGTAAAAGAAAAACAGTAACAAGCGCTAAGATATGAACTAAGAAAAACGTTAACTAGAAATACGCTAAACACTAGTCGTACAAAAACAATACGCCGAACAACAGCAAGAACATGAGTCTCTGTGAGCAGACGAGTACGAATGAACACAGCAACATGAAATAAATCAGCAACATGATGTGATATTTCACAGTAATTATCCTGGTTAGATATTCATGAGTCTAACAGCTTCAGGGTAGAAGCTGTTCCTCAGTCTAGTTTTAATGCTCCTCAACTTCCTGCCTGAGAGGAACAAGGCACAAAGTGTGTGTGCTGGGTGAGTGGGGTCCTTCATGATGCAGGTGGCTCTCTTCCTGCATCTGGAGGTGTAGATGTCTGTGATGGTGGGGAGGCTGACAGACTTCAGTGCAGCCTTCACCACTCTCTGCAAAGCTTTTCTTACAGCAGAGGATGCTCTCCACTGCACACATGTAGAAGGAGGTGAGGACTGAGCTTCCCAGACCAGCTCGCCTCAGCTGCCTGAGGAAGTAGAGTCTCTGATGAGCTTTCTTGATAAGGCTGGTGGTGTTGATGCCCCAGCTGAGGTCATCATTCAAAGCTACTTGAAAGGCAGACAAAAGTATGTGAAGTTGGGAGATGTTTGTTCTGGATGTTTGGACATTGTTTGTGGGGTTCCTCAGGGGTCAGTCCTGGGTCCCACACTGTTTATAGTTTATGTAAATGATCTATGTATTGTACCTGAGATAATGAAAAGCATACTATTTGCCAATAATACAAAAAAATTTAGTGTTGGAGATGACATGTAACAACTGTTAAAGGATGTAACTGATGAATTGAACAAACCAAATGTGTTTTGATGAAAATAAGCTGTCCTTGAACCTAAACAAAACAAAAACAATGTTATTTGGGAACTGTCAATCACCTACAGAAATTTAAATACATATAGCTGGGGTGAATATTGAAAGAGTTCATTAAAACAAATTTCTAGGTGTCATTATTGATGATAAACTCAACTGGAAACCACACATCAAATATGTTCAAAGTAAATTCTCAAGAAATATCACCCTCTTAAACAAAGCCAAGTTGATCATGAAACAAAAAGCATTGCATGTACTCTACTGTTTACTAATCTTACCTTATTTAAGTTACTGTGCAGAAATCTGGGGGCAATAATTACAAAACTACACTACAGGCATTAACAATACTATAAAAAGAGCTATGAGAATAATCCATAATCCATCAGTATGTAGTACCTTTTTTGACCACTTGATGGCAGTGTAAGTCAGTTTTAATACCCCCCAAAAGTCAAAAATTCACCAGCTGGTTCCAGGGACCCCAGATTGAGAACCACTGCTGTAAAGGTAGTACATTTTGTCAGAAGACGGCGCCAGTGCTACTGAACGTGATTTTCAAATATATATCTGGGCAACGATTTTGTTTTTGTTCCACTAAACCATAGGTGTCACAACCATTATATGTGAAGGGGTCAAGTCCCCCCACATTTAAAAAAAACGTTCATTTGGACACCCCCACTTTTACTATAAAACATTAGTTCAGGCGGCACAGTTTCTCTTTCTTCGTGAACGAATCCATTCCACTTGATTAATAGAATACTCAAACCACTAAAACTCCACTCCAGGTTTTCCTGGTTACCTCCAACTCTCCTCAGTCTCCACCTGCCTCTTGCCTCGGCAGAAAACGTGCACAAGTGGAGGAGATGAAGACACCTTTGTGTTACTCGCTCGCCAGTTTAGCAGCTTAGTGCGGGCAGTTGTTGACCGGGAAGGTTGATCATAAACAAATATTCATGTTAGGAGGAGAGAAGTGGAGCTACGTCTGTAGCATGTTCTCTTAGCAGTAACTGTGACGCTGTGAGACGCTGCAGGTGTAAGAGACGCTGTGCGTTCAGGTGCATTAAAGTTGAAACGTCTTTAAAACCCCACATCTTATTGTCCTCAAGCTTCATGAGAAACATCATTTAGATGTGTAGTGTTGAACACAAGTAAAAATGTCCAGTGATGATGTTTTTTATTTCTCTATAAACACAAATAGTGCTGACCTGACGCTCTGTATTAAAGTGTATTAAAGTTAAAATGTCTTTAAAACCCACAGCTGAATTTACACAAACTTGGTTAGAAACATGTTTTAAATGTGTGGAATTAAAGGAAATCTAGGTGAAATGTTGCTCTTTTGTTCACTAGTGAACACCTTTTTTACTGCGCACACACGTGCACACATCATTGTGTCCCCCCCACATTACAGATGCTTCTGACGCCCTTGCACGAAACCATAAAGTAATATAGATGCAGAAAGTCTGGCACTTGTAGCTAAAGTGCCAACACAACAGCTGAACATATGGGTTGTCTGGCTGGATTGTTAAATTTGTGCTCAGCTTGACATTGACCAACAACTGAGAGGAAGAAAATGTCCTGTCATCATTGAAACTAACAGTTAGGGAACATGTGCAGATTTTTACATGTACTTTTTTTTGTTTGTTTTGTTGCTTTGTATCAGTAAACAAACCTTAATAAAAAATATAACTTGTGTAATTATTTTTGACAAATACAATCCTTTTTAAATGCACACATTCCTACATACACATACTCAAAGCAGAAATTCTCAGCCATTTTATTTTACAATGTTACAAAACTTAATTACAACACAATCTGACTTACAAGCACAACATGTATATGACTAATTTGTGCCTACACACTCTGCCAACCTGTTGATCCAGTTTAATAAGTTTCCTGCTCCAGGGGCTTCCAGTGACGCAACCACGTGTCTCCGTGGAGGGAGTGGGGCGCGAGTCTTCATATCCTCCTGACGTGAGCCAGAAATTGTCAGAAGAGCTTCAAGTTGAAACACTCCTAACAAAAGAGAAGAAAGGGCAGCCAGAGAGAGGGAGATGAAGAGCGTCCGGAGCCCGAGCAGGCAGCCAGCGCGGCATGAAGCCCTGAGCAGCAGCACCATGAGCAGCAGCACCATGAGCAGCAGCACCATGAGTCCACTCTGCCTCACGCTGCTCCTCATCCTCACCATCCCAGGCTCCACTTGTAAGTCTGTGTTGTTGTGCATGTTTTACCCTTCTTTTATTAGAGAAATTATATCATTTTTATTTTACTTTATCCATCAGATGAACAAAAATAACTTATGTTTAGTTTAATAAAATGAATTATGTTCAGATTAATAAAATAAATGATGTTCACTTTAATAAAATAAATGATGTTCATTTTAATAAAATAAATGATGTTAATTTTAATAAAATAAATTATGTTTATTTTAATAAAATAAATGATGGTCATTTTAATAAATTAAATTATGTTCATTTTAATAAATTAAATTATGTTTATTTTAATAAAATAAATCATGTTCATTTTAATAAAATAAATGATGTTCATTTTAATAAATTAAATGATGTTCATTTTAATAAATTAAATTAAGTTCATTTTAATAAATTAAATGATGTTCATTTTAATAAATTAAATGAAGTTCATTTTAATAAAATAAATGATGTTCATTTTAATATCCATCCATCTGTATCTGCCTCCACAGTGACAGTTCAACATTTTAAACTCAGAAATGACTGAGAGAAGTTTGGATGTAGATTGACACTTTATCGCCTCATCTCAAACCGACCTTTGAATTGATTTGAAGGTTTAGAGAATAATCATTTATGTCAACACTGCAAGCTGTTTTTTTCCATTTACTCACAAGTTGTTTATTTTTAAATAAAAGAGTCTATTTCTTTTTTTAGTTTGACTGTAAAGCTGTGACCCTACTAATGGATATTTTCTGCAATCATGAAAAAAATCAGAAATGCTGCTGATCACGACTATTAGTGCGTTCAACAATACTATAGTGTACAGCATGAAAACAACTTAGACTTTCAGAGAAATATATGTATATGTTCTAGTCAACCCTTTAAGTGTTTGTGTGTAAAATGACAGGTGCTCCAGCAGATCTCCAACAGGTCACACCCAATCAGAGGCAGTTACTCCACCAGGTACTCTATCCTTTCTTTATTTTATGAATATTTTTGCATCTCCATCGTTCACGCTGCTGCAGCCCTTCAACATCCTCTGTGCTGCCCTACAGATAGAAACTACGTGCTCATCCTACCTCTCTGCAGACCTGCAGTTCTGGGTAGGTCCGATCTGAAGCAGTGGACTGAAAGAGTCTGAGAAGAGAGAATCTGCAGTTTTAAGGCAAATAATACACTTTTTTTTTCATATGGATAATTTCTGACAACCTTGGTTGTTTTGCAGGCGTCTGATATTTTAGGAGAACTCTGTGTCTTGATGCTGGTTCACAAATCAAAGGTGCTTCTCATTTACGTCTCTCTTTTTTTCTCAGTGTGCTTTGTTGCAGAATTTTAAAAAATAGAGTCAGATTAAGATTCACATTACTTTTTCTTTGTTGATAATATTTCAGGAACAGAGTTTTCCAGAAAATAATAAAAGAGTAAGTTTATCCTTGTTCTGTTCATTTTTTCCCCCTTGAAATAGACATAACCATCTTAGATCAATCTGGTTTTGGACTGTGTTGGTTGTTTGCATGCATGTGAGGTTTTGTTGTTGTTGTTGTTTACCGTCTGTACTGTATTTGCAGTTTTTATTCCATTACTCTAGACCCCACGGTTCAGACTTGTCACAAGGGGTAAGTAAGTGAAAAGCTAAAACAGCACTGTTTGCTGCTCGGCTGAAGGAAAACTCACATTTTATACTTACTTTACACAAGATTTGCACTTATTGAATGAGACTTTAAGTTTGGCTCTTTGGCGCTTTGCAGCAAGAATTAGGAGAATCTGCATGTCATTTACTGAACCTAATGCAGGTGCACACAATAAGAAAGTGAAATCTATGCATGGTAACGGACATATGATGGAAATGGGCTCCCATCATGAGGCTTTAGTCTCCTTTCTTGTTAGCAAAGCATGACTGAAAACATCCTGATGCATGCTCAATAATCCAGGTAGAAAAATCCAAAAAAGTTCAATCTGGTCCTCTGGACATTCAAAAAAACAAAAAACAAAACAAAGCAAAAAAAATCTAGAAACGTTTCATCTCTCATCCGAAAGACTTCCTCAGTCTGAGGTGCTGTTTTCAGCTCAGTCTCTTAAATAGCACCTTCTCAGGGTGGATCAACCAGTTTGCTACAACCAAAACCAGCTGATCACATGCTCAAGAAGGACCATCAGCCTAACAATGGATCATTAGCACCTGATGGCTGTTTACTGTTCACAGAGGGCTGAGTGATACTAGCAATCACAGCATTGTAAGAGGGGGACAGTTGAACCCGGAGGCCTCCACCCCTGTTTAATGATGGACGATTTCTTTTCACAAAGATGGCCTCCTTTACTCCTCTCTCAAACCATCGTTCCTCTCTGTCCAGGATGTGCACATCTTCATCCTTGAAAGAGTGACCGCTGGCCTGGAGATGAGTCTCATCTCCAGGCCAGCGGTTTACTGTGAGTAGTAAACAGCCATCAGGTGCTAATGATCCTTCGTTAGGCTGATGGTCCTTCTTGAGCATGTGATCAGCTGGTTTTGGTTGTCAGCAGCAAACTGGTTGATCCACTCTGAGAAGGTGCTATTTAAGAGACTGAGCTGAATACAGCACCTCAGACTGAGGAAGTCTCTTGGATGAGAGACGAAACGTTTCTACATTTTTTTTGCTTTGTTTTGTTTTTGTTTTTTTTGAATGTCCAGAGGACCAGATTGAACTTTTTTGGATGACTGAAAACAATTTATTTAAGGAGGCAACAGCATGGCTACAAGAACACATTTATTTATTGGTTGCATTAAAACATGTTGCCTTTTTTGCTTGTTCACGAAAAATGTAAAAATAGAAACAATGAACCGATGCACGCATGCTCCCCTTAAAGTGCCTGCTAAATGAAAGAGAACAGGATCATAGCTGAGTCCTGTTAAACCAGTTCTTTACGACAAAGTAGTGGTCATGACCAAGGTCCTCCTGAGGTTCAAGCTCAGGTTGTGCAGGAAGGGCATCCAACGCTAAACATGTTTTTCTGTAATATGAGTTTAACTTGCTGTGGTGACCACTATAGAATGGAAGAGCTGAAAGAAAAAAATAAACGTAATGAAAACAACAACAGAACAAAGAAACCTTTAGCAGAACCAGCTCAGGACAAGAGGACCATCTGCTTCGACCGGCTGGGTTTGGTAGTAACAGATACACAATGGCAGATCAAGAATCACATGTTAAGATAGAAATAGTATCAAATGAAAACTATTCAATTTTAACAAACCATTTAAGGAAAGTAGGTTAATTTCTCCTCTAGTCTAAGCTTAAAATAGCATAACAAGTAAACCCTAACTATAGGATTTATCAGGAAGGAAAGTCTTAATCCCAGTCTTAAACTGGACAAAGTGTCAGCCTCACGGACAGAAACTGGAAGTTGGTTCCACAAGAGAGGAGCCTGAGAACTGAAAGATCTGCCTCCCTTTCTGCTTTTGGAAACTCTAGGAACCACAAGTAAACCTGCAGTCTGAGAGCGAAGTACCGGTGCTCTGTTAGGAAAATATGGAACAATAAGACCTGGAATATAAGATGGAAATGGATGTATAAGATGGGAATATACTGTGAAATTTTAATAAGGGACAATACCACTTTTAAAATACAAAAAGTGGGAAAATGAGATTGTAAAATAAATAAATAAATAAATAGAAACATAGCATCAGAAGCTTATAAACCTCCAAACATCATTCATAGAAATTTGGACATTTTGTAATTTTTTTTTTTAATTTTCAATGTTAATTTTAAATTTTTTTAAATATGTATTTATCCATCCATCATCTTTACCCACTTCTTTCTTTCTGGGTCGCCGGGGTCACTAGTGCCCATGTCCAAGAGGCGGGGGACACCCTGGACATTGATATATCAGTTGATACATTTATACATTTTTCCTTTTTGTTTTAAAATTCATTTCAACGCATATTGATTTATTGAAGTGTTGATTATTTTCTTTTTTTTAATTAATTTAAACAATGTTCAATGATTTTTGAAGACAGTTTATCTGAGCTGTGATATGAGGGTTTAAGTTGTGTAGGGTTATAGCAGTGTAAAGTAGAATATGTTTAAATGTTTTTGAAGCATTCATACCTATAAAAGAGCCCTCAAATCACCAGTCCCCCCTCCCCAATAGAATACCACATCATAAATATTTACAACTAATACACCAACCCATGTCAAACTGGTGTGTTGGTTTGTGCAAAAATATAATTTAAAAAACTGTTGTCCTGCATTATAAAGATACAAAACAAGTGCTGTGATTTGGCGCTATATAAATAAACTGAATTGAATTTGTCTAAATAAATTATTTTTTCTTTCGGCTGCTCCCTTTTTCTGGGGTCGACACATCAAACTAAGTCGCACGAAGACTTGATGACTATTTTTACACCGGATGTCCTTCCTGACACAACCAGAGACCACCGAGCTACCACAGCTCTCTGTGTGGAGCAGAGAGCTGATATCTAGGGCGCCCAGGGGAAAGGGCCTTGTGGAGGAAAGTGGAGCAAATGAAGGTGGAGGCGGGTGTGGGTGTTTCACTTGTTCTACATGTTTTGACGTTGTTGGTCTGGGGAGTCAAACCCACTACATTCCAATCACAGGCCCACCCTCTCCAACCTCTTGGCCACCACTCCCCATTTATCTAAATAAAATAAAAACTTTAAAAAAAGAAGCATTTGCATTTCTGTGCTGCATGTTCTTTGTGGACAAGAAGGAAGCAGCATTCCTTTATTGGCCTTTACATCCCACGTTGTGTACTTTATTCACTGCAGTTGATGTTTTGTGTTTGCCTGTCTGTCAGAGCTCTCAGCTGCACCCTCTTCTGCATCTAGTTTCTCAGCTCCATACCAGAAAAGACAGAGGACTCTTGATGCGCGTATGTACCACTCACATTCCTTTCAGCCTTCATTTCTTACTGTTCTGTCGTTGATGCTGTTTACAGAAGTCTTACATTTGATAGTTACCAAAACAAAGATCGATAAACAAAATGCTTTGTAATGCTTTTGTTTTTTGCACGCAAAATATTAATGCAACCAGTGACGCCATTTGCTTTACTTTTGTTTTGTTATTCCTCAGCACATTTTCTGAGGACAGCTCTGCAAAGCTGCACGAAAAGAGCTGATGAAACCACTGCATTTATGTTGATACTGAAATGTATGTGCAACGTGTTTTTCTCCATCCTCAGCTTACATGTTGATAATGCTGTTCCACATTAGTTGCAGTTCCAAGCTGAGCGTAATTATAGTCTAAAATTAGTGTAGCTGGAAGGTGAACTCATCATCTGTTGCTCTCAAACAAAGTGGATGAAGAGAAGAGTGTGGATGGGACTGTTTGTTTTGTTGAATCCACATGTGAGCACTCAGGCCGGTTTACTTCTGTTGCCTCTATACAGAAAACTGTTGATTTCTTGGTGAGGAAGTGGCAAATAAGACTAAAACTTTACAGAAAGTTCAATTTTGTGTGTATACAGGCCGAACTTCAGGGACCTGGAGGGATCGAGAGCAGAGGCTACTTCCTCTACCGAGTATGTAAAATATTTGTCTACATATGCAATTTTTTTTAATTAAGCTAAATGTACACAATACGATTAATTTAAAAAAGTTGTATACACACACACACACACATAAACATACTGGTGTGTGTGTGTGTGTGTGTGTGTGTGTGTGTATATATATATATATATATATATATATAGTAGTCCCTCGGTACTTCACGATTCATTAATTGTGAACTCGCTCTGTCACAGTTTTTCAAAATAAATTTGGACATGACACACAACTGGCTGATTGATGGATGACCCACACGATTGGCGTGGAATTTTTATTTAAAATAAATTATTTTACATGTGATGGACTAGCGACCTGTCCAGGGTGTCCCCCGCCCCTCGCACAGTGATTGCTGGAAATGGGCACAGGCGACCCCCGTGACCCAAAATGGAAGAAGCGGGTAAAAGATAATGAATGGATGGAATATTTTACATTATTTAGCCATTCATCCATCCATTTTCTTCCGCTTATTCGGGGTCAGGTCGTAGGGGTAGCAGCCTAAGTAGGGAGGCCCAGACTTCCCTCTCCCCAGCCACTTGGGCCAGCACCTCCGGGGGAATCCAGAGGCATTCCCAGGCCAGCCGAAAAACATAGTCCTTCCAGCGTGTCCTGGATCTTTCTCTGGGTCTCCTACCAGTGGGACATATCCAGAACACCTCACCAGGGAGGCGTCCTGGAAGCATCCTAACCAGATGCCTGAGCCACCTCAACTGGCTCCTCTCAACATGGAGAAGCAGCGGCCCAACTCTGAGTCACTCCTGGATGATCGAGCTTCTCACCCTATCTCTAAGGGAGAGCCCAGACACCCTGTGGAGAAAACTCATTTCTGCCGCTTGTATCCGAGATCTCGTTCTTTCAGTCACAACCCAAAGCTCATGACCATAGATGAGGGTAGGAATGTAGACTGATTGGTAAATTGAGAGCTTCACCTTTTGACTCAGCTCTCTTCACCACGGCAGATCGGTACAACGCCCGCTTCACTGCAGACAACGCACCTATCCGCCAATTGATCTCTCGCTCCATTTTTCCCTCATTCGTGAACAAGACCCCAAGATACTTAAACTGCTCCACTTGGGGCAGGACCTCCTCCCCGACACGGAGAGGGCACTCTACCCTTTTCTGGCTCAAGACCATGGCCTCGGTTTCGGAGGAACTGATCCTCATCCCGGCCGCGTCACACTCAGCTGCGAACTGCTCCAGTGAAAGCTGTAGATCAAGACCTGATGAAGCCAATAGGACCACGTCATCTGCAAAAAGCATAGACGCGATACTGACGCTACGAAAACGGATCCCTTCAACACCTTGGCTGCGCCTAGAAATTCTTTTCATAAAAGTTATGAACAGAATCTGTGACAAAGGGCAACATTGGCGGAGTCCAACTCTCATCGGGAACAAGCCCGAGTTACTGCCGGCAATGTGAACCAAGCTCTGACACTGGTCATACAGGGACCTAACAGCCCGTATCAAACAGCCTGGCACCCCATGCTCCCAGAGTACTCACTACAAGTTTCCCCAAGGGACGCAGTCGAAGGCCTTCTCCAAGTCCACAAAACACATGTAGACTGGTTGGGCAAACTCCCACGTATCCTCCAGGACCCTGCTGAGGGTGTAGAGTTTGTCCATTGTTCCACGACCAGGACAAAAACGGCACTGCTCCTCCTGAATCTGAGGTTCGACTATCCAACAGACAGTCCTCTCCAGAGCCCCTGAATAGGCCTTACCATGGAGGCTTAACAACGTGATCCCCCTGTAGTTGGAACACACTCTATGGTCCCCCTTTTTGAATAGGAGGACCACCACCCCAGTCTGCCAATCCAGAGGAACTGCCCCCGATGTCCACACAATATTGCAGAATCCTATAAGCCAACACAACCCCACAACATCCAGAGCCTTAAGGAACTCTGGGTGAATCTCAATCACCCCTGGGGCCCTTTCACCAAGGAGCTTTTTAACTACCTCAGTGACCTCAGCACCAGAGATTGGAGAGCCCAACCCAAAGACCCCAGGCTCCGCTTCCTCAGTGGAAGACGTGCTGGTGGGATTGAGGAGGTCTTCGAAGTACTCTGCCCACCGCCCCACGACATCCTGAGTTGAGGTCAGCAACACACCACCTCCACTATAAACAGTGTTGTTGGCGTACCGCTTTCCCCCCAAGATGTCGGATGATGGACCAGAATCACTTCAAAGCCATATGGAAGTCATTCTTCATGGCCTCTCCAAACTCCTCCCACACACGATTTTTTGCCTCAGCGACCACTCGAGCCATATGCCGCTTGAACTGCCGGTACCCATCAGCTGCTTCTGGGGTCCCACAAGCCCAAAAGGCCTGATAGAACTTCTTCTTCAGCCTGATAGCATCCCTCACCGCCGGTGTCCACCACCAGGTTCGAGGGTTGCCACCGCAACAGGCACCGACAACCTTGCGGCTACAACTCGGGTAAGCCGCTTCGACAATAGAGGCACAGAACATGGCCCACTCTGGCTCAATGTCCCCCACCTCCCCGGAAAGTGTTCAAAGTTCTCCTGGAGGTGGCAGTTAAAACTCTGTCTCACGGGATAATCTGCCAGACGTTCCCAGCAGACCTTAACAATACGTTTAGGCCTGTCAGGTCTGACCGGCATCCTCCCCCACCATGAGAGCCAACTCACCACCAGGTAGTGGTCAGTGGAAAGCTCCGCCCCTCTCTTCAGCTGAGATTCCAAGACATGCAGCCACAGATCAGATGAGATGACAACAAAGTCAATCATCAAACTGTGGTCTAGGGTGTCCTGGTGCCAAGAGCACATATGGATACCCTTATGCTTGAACATGGTTTTTGTTATGGACAATCCATGACGAGCACAGAAGTCCAACAACAGATCACCACTTGGGTTCATATCAGGTGGGCTGTTCCTCCCAACCACACCCCTCCAGGTCTCACTGTCATTGTCCACATTAGTGTTGAAGTCCCCTAGCAGAACAAGGGGGTCCCCAGGAGGTGCACTCTCCAGTACCCCCTCCAGGGACTCCAAAAAGGGTGGGTAATCTGAACTGCTGTTTGGTAAATAAGCACAAACAACAGTCAGAACCCGTCCCCCCACATGTAGGCGGGGGGAGGCCACCTTCTCGTTCACTGGGGTGAACCCCAACACACAGGCACCAAGATGGGGGGCAACAAGTATGCCCACTCCTGCTCGGAGTGGAAGAGTGTCCAACCCTTCTCAAGAAAACTGGTTCCAGAGACATGCATCGAGGTGAGTCCGACTATTTCTAGCCGGAACTTCTCAACCTCACACACCAGCTCAGGCTCCTTTCCCCCCAGAGAGGTGGCATTCCACATACCAATAGCCAGCTTCTGTAGCTGAGGATCAGAACGCCAATGTCCCCGCCCTTGGCCACCACCCATCCCACATTGCACCCAACCCCTTTGGCCCCTCCCACAGGTGGTGAGCCCTTAGGAAGAGGGACCCTCATCTCTTCTTCGGACTGTGCCTGGCCGGGCTCCATGGGTAAAAGCCTGGCCACCAGGTACTCGCCAGCATGCCCCACCTCCAGGCCCGGCTCCAGAGTGGGGCCCTGGTGACCCACGTCCAGGCAAGAGAACATAGTTTCCATTTGTTTGATTCATCATAAGGGATCTTTGGCACCTGCTGCAAATTTGTGCAGCCCAGAGCTACAGGATAAGCTTCCTGCTACAGCTGATCAGCTGTTCTCCGTGCAGAGGGCAGACGTGGACGTGGCCAAAAACGGTTACAGGTAGCACAGAGCAGATGAGGCAGAGAGCTAAAATCATGACATTCTGTGCTCTTTTAGCGTGTTTAGACTTTAGAAACATTGTTTAGAATATTGCAAGAGCATAGGAAAGATTTAAAACGTGTATATATATATATATATATATATATATATATATATATATATATATATGTATATACTAAAATAAACTACTACTTACTACTTGTACTACTATTCCTACTTTGCGGTTTTTCACTTATTGTGGGGCTTCAGGGTACGAATCCCCTGCAATAAACGATGGATAGTAGTCCTTCGCTACTTCGCGGTTCATTTATCACGAATTTTCAAAGTAAGATTGGACCTGAAGTTCATTTCTGATCAGTGCTGCAGAGCTGTGTGAAGCTGTGTGACATCCCTTTGATGTCCTGCTGCGCTTCTCTTCTCTAAAATTAAAATTTAAATACTGTAATATTTTAAATAAACAATTTATGCTGCATGGATTGTTAATTTAAAATGTTACTGTATTTACATTTAAATTGTTTATTTAAGGAGGGAGATTGGGAGTAACAGGTGATGAGTAAGTGTGACTGCAGCCTGGCACATGTCATGACAAAGTTTACTGAACTGAACTTAGACTACTGTATCCCTACTTCGTGGTTTTTCACTTATTGTGGGTGGGCACGGTCCCGAACACCCGCGATAAACGAGGGACTACTGTATATACATAATGTATATATGTAATAATATGTTTGTTTGTTTTTGGTTGTTGTTGTTTTTAAGCCACGAAATGGAAGAAGGTCTTTAGACTACGAATGAAGGTAATGATTTATATTTAATTTGTTTGTCCTCAAAAACAAAAATTCATATTACAACATAAAAGTAAAAACTCATTGAAACCCGTTATATTTGTTTTGGTTATTGTGCTTCAGAACCTCCACCTATGAGTGTACAGAGACACGGACCCCTAGACCCGAGCCACTGCACAAAGACACAGATCTAGACTGCACCCAAGAGACCATTTCCACTACTGTATCATCATATTTGATTCTGCATATTCAACATCAATTAAAATACTATTCATTTATCCAGATCTGTCATTTGTGTGGATTATTTGGAGGAGTTTGATTCACAACACGTTGGGAAGAGAAGCCTTCCAGTGCACTTGGAAGACATGACTTACTTCAGATACAATTTTGAAGTTCAGTGAAACGAGCTGAACACATAAAATATACAGAAAATGAAGGTGCTACATCTACTGTACATTTAAAAGTTAGTTTTAAGTTTCTATATTAATTGCATGATTAGATCAAGATAATCCCTCTTCCTGACAGTAGATGTCAGCATTTCTCAGTAAAAGCTGCAGGCTCACACCCTTCACAGCTTTAATGGCTGTAAAGACAAATCCTTCTTAATGGCACAAAGATTTTGTGTCAAAACTTCCAGTATAAAGGAACACGTGCACTTTTCTTACGGATGTTTCTGTCTGTGACAACAAAAAGCTTTCCTCTCTTTCAGTCAGAGAAAAAGCTTTAGTCTGAGTTCATTACACAACTATATAATTCCCAGCAACACCTAAAGCACCCACAAGAATGAATGATATTTTGTTATTTATTTTGAACAAAAGGCTGCAATTTTAGGGATGAAATCTATGTTTACCTCAAGCACAACTACTAATGTCTTCATTTTAAAATGCCAATTAATATTAAAGGTTTGGGCCAGCGCAGTGGTGCAACTGGTAGAGCTGTTGCCTCTCAGTGAGCAGGTCGCTGAATCAAATCTTGATCGGGGGCCCTTCTGGGTGGACCTTACATGTTCTCTCCATGCATGCATGGGTTTTCTCCGGGTACCCCGGTTTCCTCCCACAGACCAAAAACATGCATGTTAGGCTGATTGGTAACTCTAAATTGTCCCTAGGTGTGAGTGAGAAAGTGAATGGTTGTTTGTCTCGTTTGTCTCTATGTGTCCCTGTGATGGACTTGCGACCCGTCCAGGGTGTATCCCGCCCCTCGCACAGTGATTGCTGGACATGGGCACCGGCGACCCCCGTGACCCAAAATGGAAGAAGCGGGTAAAAGATAATGGATGGATGGATGTCCTGCAGTATAAAATATTTCAAGAATTCTGACTAACTCTGTAAACTACCATTTTCTGATACATGTTGAACCCTAATATGTTAAAATTGTCTTTCAAAAGGTTTTCTGCATAATCAATATAATAAAATGCTGCAGTTTTAGTAGAAGAAAAAAAAATTCTAGTGAGATGAGAATTTTTAACGAGAACTTTTTTTTCCACAATGTTTTGGTTATTTAGACATAAGCCAGGTTTGCCTTTTTTTTTTAATTTGACACTTAAAGTTTGATTTAGCCAATTTGCTCAAGAGGCTGACATGACAAGAATTTCATGTTGGTGAAAGTGTGTATAAGTTATATCCTGATGCATGCTCAATAATTCAGGTAGAAAAATCTTAAAAAGTTAAGTCAGGTCCTCTGGACATTCAAAAAACAAAAACAGAAAAGTGTAGAAACGTTTCATCATTCTGTATAAGTTATAATGTTTTATTTATATAATTCACGTTATGTCGACGTTATGTTGACCACAACTTTTCAAAAACAATGAAATTAAACTTTTCTTTGATTCACCATCTTATCGTGGTGGAGCAGTTTGTGCGCTTGAATGATCCTAGGAGCTATGCTGTCTGGTAGGGTCTCCCAAGGCAGATTGGTCCTTGTTGGCAGGCCAGGCAAAGAGCGATTCACAAGACTTATGGACAGGAAAAAACAAGGAACTCAGTGTCCCTTGCCCGGACGTAGGTTACCATGGCCCCACCCTGGAGTCAGGCCTGGGGGAGGGGCTTGTCGGCAAGCTCCTGATGACCGGGTTTCTACTCATGGGGCCTGGTCGGGCCCACTCTGAAGGAGTAGCATGGGTTTGCCTTCTTGTGGACCCACCAGAGGTTCTGGCCAACATCTTTAACTCCTCCCTCACCCTGGCAACAGTTCCCACCTGCCTGAAGACCGCCACTATGATCCCAGTTCCAAAAGCTCTGCAGTGACTCATCTGAATGACTACTGGCCAGTAGCACTCACCCCGATAGTCGCTAAATGCTTCGAAAGACTGGTTATGACCCACTTCAAAACTACTAACATCATCAGCGAAGACCCTCACCAGTATGCATACTGCAAAAATTGATCAACAGAGGCCACAATCTCCGCTGTGGTCCACACTGCTCTCACTCACCTGGAGCAGAAGGACTCCAATGTCCATATGCTCTTTGTGGACTTCACATCCACCTTCAACACCATGATTCCCCAGACCCTAATGGACAAACTACTCACACTAGGACTAAGTCCCTCCCTATGCAACTGGATCCTGGACTTCTTAACAAATAGACCACAGTCTGAGGATCCACAACTTCTCCTCTAACAACATAACCCTCAGCACTGGCTTCCCTCAGGGCTATGTGTTGAACCCCCTCCTGTTCATTCTGCTGACATTTGACTGTGCACCTACCCATCCAGGCTGTCATATTGTAAAGTTTGCATACGATACAGCGGTGGTGGGATGCATCACAAACAACGATGAGTCCAGCTACAGGCAGGAGGTGGAACACCTGGAGAGCTGGTGCAGGAAGAACAACCTCCACATCAATGTGAAGAAGACAAAGGAGATGATTGTGGATTTCAGAAGGAGCAAACACCCCCTCTCTGCACATAGGAGGAACTGTGTTCCAGTTACAAGTACTTGGGTGTACACCTGAATAACAACAGCTGGGGCAACAACACCACCAGCCTGATCAAGAAAGCTCATCAGAGACTCTACTCCCTTAGGCAGCTGAGGTGAGCTCGACTGGGAAGCTCAGTCCTCACCTCCTTCTACAGGTGTGCAGTGGAGAGCATCCTGTGCTCCAGCATCAACGTGTGGCATGGAGGCTGCACAGCTGCAGAAAGAAAAGCTTTGCAGAGAGTGGTGAAGGCTGCACAGAAGATGTTGGAGTCAGTCTCCCCACCATCACAGACATCTACACCTCCAGATGCAGGAAGAGGGCCACCTGCAGCGTGAAGAACCACACTCACCCAGTGCACACACTTTTTGCCCCCCCCCCCCCACGCAGAAGGTTGAGGAGCATGACCTGCAGAACCACTAGACTGAGGAACTTCTACCCTGAAGCTGTTAATCATGAATATCTAACCAGGTTAATCAATGTGAAAAAAAAAATCACTGTAACGCCATCTTGATTGTTGATATATGCTGCTGATTATTCATTCTGCTGATTTCATGCTGCTGATTTATTTCATGCTGCTGTGTTCATTCGTACTCATCTTCTCACACAGACTTATGTTTGTGCTGTTTTTGTTTGACGTATTGTTTTTGCAGTATTGGTGTTTAGCGTGTTCTTAGTTAAGCATATTTCTTAGTTCATATCTTGGATCTTATTACTGTTTTTCTTTTACAATTTATACTTTTGTTGGATGTAACTGGGACCCCTTGTACACAGTTTTGTTCTACCTCATGTACCACATGTGGTGCGAATGATAATAAAGAACCTTGACCTTGATGTGGCAGTTCCCATCAAAGTTTCTCCAGGAACTTTCTAGTTATTTATTTTATCATTGCAAGTCCTAGAGTTCTGTCTTGAGTTCCACAGTATGCTGAACGTCACAGAATCTAGGGACCAAACAGAACCCAGCAGACAGGTCACCCTTGTTGAGTACCTGGCTCAAGAAGCAGCAAAGATTGCCCAGCGTGAGCAAGAGGAGCAAGAGGTGCAGTGTCTGCAGTTCGCCATCAGTTGGGGCAGATGTCAGATGAGAGGATCCAGGCCTGCCTGGAGAAGAAGACCCTACAGCCTGGAGCCCTCTCTTGGTGGAGGAGGAGGAGAGGAGCAAGTTGCAGTTTTGGGGAACCCGCCAGGCATTTAAGCCTGTTTTCCCCTACTCACAACCTTGCTCGCCTCCAGTGGCTTTTTGGCGACTCATCATCTTCCTTCATTGGGCTTGCCTCTGTGGTTCCCTGAGTGGCTGGCAGTGGAGGATCCAGAATCCTACATTGAGTCCTGGTTTACCACTGTTCCTAAGTCATGCTGTCGTGGAAAGAACCAACAGCAGACCCAATCAACCTGGAGCAGATGACTGGACGTTCATCTGTTCCAGGTGGTTCTTCACAGGTCCAGACTTTGCTCTCCCACTCCCCAGAGTTGTCAGGGTCCTACCCTCAGTTGAAGGAGTAGACAAACCCATGTTAGCCGAAGAATCAGCCAAACTCAACCTCGTGTCTCTTTGGGTGTTGGCCATGACACCGCACCTTCCAGTGTCTCCGTGGGGGTCAGCCATAATACCTCATCTTCTTTTGTCTCTGTTGGGGTCAGCCATTATGCATCACCTTCCTGTGTCTCAGTGGGGGTTGGCCATGATGCCTCAATTTTCTGTGTTTCTGTGGAGGTCGGCCATGACGCCTCACCTTCCAGTGTCTCTGTGGGGGTTGGCCATTATGCTTTACCTCCCAGTTTCTCTGTGAGGATCAGCAACGATGACGCTTCACCTTTTTGTCTCCGTGGGTGTTGGCAATGATGCCTCACCTTCCATAGTCTCCAATACTAATGTTTTCATTAGGTTAAAGTCACTAACGTTAACCATTACATTAACTTATTAACTATTAATAAGGACTATTAACTTGTGACAATATTTTTTTTACTAGCAGTCCCATAATTCAGGCTCTGAGTCCCAGCTCAGTGCTGACAGCTCAAAAGAGGATTTAGACCGTGTGACCAACAGAAGGACTTCCTCAGCCTCTTTCTGCAGCTCACTCAAATCCTTCCACGCTGGTGTTTCTGACCCAGCCTGTAAGCACCTTCAGCACTCAGCCGTTAATGCAAATTCCTAGAAATATTAATTTAAATGATGGTTTTGTTTTTTATCTGACCGCATCATCACTTAGTAAGTTTCAAGGAGATAGAGGCACAACAGGTTCACAATTTGTTTATGTTGAAGAAAGAACATCCCAACGAAAGTCTTCAGTCAGCAGTTAGGTCAGTAGAAGAGCTCAAGTTTCTCCATTACCTCATCACATGGAAATTCACAGAACTTATTTAGAGTCTGCATTGTTTGTTCCAGCAGTCAGTAAGTTCAGAAAACACAGGAAAGAACAATGCACCTCTCATGATTATCAACCAGGTAAGATACCAGAGTTTCTTTTTAAACACAACTGTTGGTATCAGTCATGTGTGGAAAAGCTACAGTCAAGCTACAAGCCAGCTACCAAAACATATTTGTAGGAAATTCTGTAAATAAAATGTCATCTTGAAACTTTTATACCTTTGGTTGCTTTGACTGGTTGTAGACTTCTACAGTCATGCCCAGAACTCTTTGAGTCTGTGCCCGTTAATATCAAATTTTGAACCAGAATCAGGAAGCTTTATTGCCAAGTGCTGTACACTTGTACACACAATGAGTTTTTCTAGTCACTGAAGCATCCAGTTCATGCATCTGTTTACATCAGTACAGTTTCAATGCACTGTTGCTGTCCAGTGATTTACTACCAGATGTAGACAGAGTACAAACCACAACATTAAAAACAAACACATTTTCTCTATTTTACCAAGAAGTTTAACGTGTGTTAAACTTCTTTACATCATTGGTGACTGCATAGAAAGGCAGCCATGTATTATTATCCACCTGTAAAGGGCCTTGCTCTTTCATCAACTTTAATGCAGCCCAAACCACAACGTGTACCCTCAAAAATGTTCTATCAAAACAACCGGCACGGCACCGTGATGTGTGCCAGTACTTTTATTGGCATTTTGAGTTACCACAGCAACGTAATTTAAAGAGATGCCATTTTTCTCATTTAAAAATACGGATTAACTTTTGGAGCCATTTTGGTTCATGATGGCTGCCACAGCTACCTCAGAAAACTTAAAATTGACTGTTTCTCTTCAGTGTCCTGAGACAGCTTCTGTTACGACTTTGTGCTATATAAATAAACTGAATTGAAAATGAATTGGATGGATGTTAATCATTGCCCAGTCTAACTTTACAGGGATTTTCCATAATAATCATGTAACGTATACATGCAATCCAGGACATCGTTGTAAAAGAGATTAATAAACTCAATGGTCTTCTTTCCTGGTAAAATAAAGGTTTAAATAAAAATAAAATAATCACTATTGTACTCCACTTGTGTTTTGTTTTCATCCTTGGCTTTTACACTTTAAATGACAGTTCCAGTGATAATTAATTAGCTGATCTCTTCTTGTAAATAAAAAAATATGAGCTAAACTTTCTATTTTCAGATCTGAAAAACAGATTTAGACAAAGATTACTACTAAAAAGATAAATACTTAATTGTAATTTTGCCACAAATCACAGCAGCTTTATGTGAAACAAAGCTTCTTTCTCTCCATTTGGACAAATGCTAAAAAAGAATTTTGAAATATTAAGGATTTTTAATTCACAAGTTAACCGACTAATGTCAGAGTCAGAGTCAGAGTCAGAGTCAGAGTCAGAGTTTCTTTATTGTCATTCGCACCTCATGTGGTACATGTGGTGGAGCGAAATTATGTACACAGGGTCCCAGTTACATCCAACAATAAAATGTATAAGAAAAACAGTAATAACATCTAAGATATGAACTAAGAAAAACATCAACTAAATATACACTAAGCACTCATAACATAAAACATTGAACATCAGCACAAACATGAACATGAGTCTGTGAGCAGATGTGCACGCATGAACACATCAACATTGAAACAGATCAGCAGCAACATGAAACAGATCAGCAGCAACATGAAACAGATCAGCAGCAACA